ATTTTCAAGACATCTAAAGTACCTTTTTTTGTTAAGAATATGAAGTTTCTGATTTGTTCCTCAACCTCCCCACCCAGGTTAGTGTAGAATCTTTAAACATGTGCACAGAGAAAAGGCCTCCATAACTTAAACGATGTATATGGTATTTTGGAACATCAAGTTAATTTCCTTTCTATCTGCAAACACATTGGTAAATTCCCAAATGATACCACCTGGAATGGCAATACTGACTGACTTCACTCCTTGAACCAACCACTACAACTGGTTTCCTGCAACAATTAAGTGACTGGGTTAAATAATATTTGTTTTTGTTTTTTGCTTTTTCATGGTATATTTCTTTATTTATAAACATCCACTTTGGTTTTTGTCAACGTCGTTTTACAGTTTTCAGTGCACGGGTATTACATGCATTTTTGTTACCTAAGTAATTTACATGTACTTGTTATTTTCAAAAGTATTGGTTTTGTTAAGGTTCTTTTTTCAATTATTTTATTGTTAATATATTGATTTTGTATATAGGCTTTTCATCCTGAACTTTTTAAACAATTGTTTTAATTTGTTTTAATTAAACATGTCAGTAGAATGCATTTATGCACCTTGATATATCGTACATAAAAGGGGTATAATTTCTCATTTTTCTGTTTATACATGTTGTAGAGTCACATCAGTCATGCTTGTTTGTTTTAATCTGAGGCTATTTTAAAATATTTGTGACAATGCAAATTCAGGACTGCAGAATCACTAACCATAAAAAAAGAAAAAAATACAGTGTCAAGACTCCAAAGATCTGAGTTCTAATCCCAGGTCGGCCATCAACTTAAGCTGCTTTCCAGGGTCTTGTCTTAATGTATAATACATTTAATCAACAACAAATAAAATTTTATCTGAGGCAGAAAGTCTACTTCCTATTACTATCTACTACTACAAGCTCTATTCCCCTTAACTTTAACCACAAAAGGTTTGAACATTCTAGTCCCATAAATTATTTTCAGATGGATGCAACATATCAAACTATTTTCTTATTTAAACAAAAAAGTAGCTTAATTAGCTTCAATTATTGTGAAATGAAAAATAATACAAAATCTTTTACATTGACACAGAAAACTATAACACACAAAGCAGTAGCCTAAAGTACTATCATATGGTATCAAAGTAAAACAGAATTTAAGGTCCTGAAACAGTGGTTCTTCAACTTTACAGTGCATAAGAATAATCTGGAAATCTAAATAACAGATTTCTAACTCCGTGCAGCAGAAACTGAAACAGTAGGCACAAGACTGGGAAACAGGTAGGGTCCAGGAATTTGAACTTTAATTCTTTGTATACAATCAGGGTCTAATGGACCTCCTTATTTAAGCAGTATTATTCTATGACTTTTACTTTTCCTTAGCAATTTTTTCAAAGAAAAATGGAAAATTTTTTTCAATAAAATAAAATCATTATCTTACAAATACCATCAAGGTTTGCTAGAAATTTTTATAAGTCTAAAAATCTATACAAGATGAAATCTTAGTGAACTTATTTTTTCCTACATCTTGAAACATTTTTTGCTATTTTATCAATCTAGAAATTTATCATTATTCATTGGTTATTCCAAACTATGCTATACTAAAATGACAACAAAAATAGAGTTGTTGCATGATGATGCAACAGTGAAATAAATTATTACATTAGTCATCTTTCAGTTTGTATTGCCCAGAGAAAGCAACCTTTACAAGGTATAGGTCTAGAAATAGCACTTTTGTAGTCTCTTTATGTTTTAAAGCCTTCAGTGAACCCAACAGAAAATTAAAGCTTTTTTTTTTTTCATTTTCATCCACAGTGTCAGAAAAAAAGCTAAAGAGAGGAAGATGAAGAAATTTACTGAAAAAATTAGAAAATGCATGCAAAAAGACAAATAGCTACATTTTAGAATCTTAATAAGAAAACTGACCATAAACAAGATCTCAGATTATCAGTTTTTAGATTATGATATTTTAATTGAAATTCCTCAAACCTAAGAATCAATAAGCAAACAATATATTTCTAATTAATAAAAGAAATACTTTTCATTCAGTTATTCTGCAGGAAGGACGTTATCATGCAATATTTTGAAGTAAGCACTGAACCATCCTGTTTTACGAAAAGGATCGTATAATCTTTTTTCATCTTTTCCATCTGCATACCAAAATTTGCTTGGCATGATTTCTAAGAGGTCAAATGAAGATAGGTATATAAACAAAGGTGAACTGGGTGGAAACAGTAATGTAAAAATTTAAAAAAATTCATTGCACAGATTATTCTCGCTGGTATTTATAAACACACATGTGAAAATTCTTTAAAAGTAAAGAGCAAACATGGTCAGCCTCTCTTCAAAACCATGGTCCATTAATATTTTCAAAAGTACTGCATTTTATGATCGAAAAAATGCAAAAATTACCAAATAATAATGATGGCCTCTTATAGAGATATATTTCAAATCTGGAATCCATATTATGTTTTGACCACACAAGTGCAAGAAGAACCAAAAGCAATGATATGCTAGGACGTACTGGAGATGAATTTGAAATCTGAAATCATCTTTATAAGATACTTTCATTCATTATGTGCAATTAGTTCAATTCAAAGATTTGCTCATTTCAGCAATATATATTTTCAAAAGCAGGAAAATTTGGAATAATGTGGGTTGTGTTGAAAATGTTCTTAAAATTTCTAGTAAAATTGTTTCTCTCTTAATTTTAATTTTGTAAATTATTCATAAAATGTAATGACAACAAAGATTTCTAATAAAGTAAGGACTAATAAGCATTATGGGTTGTTCCTATATGGTGTCAAGGAACACACTTTGATAAAGTCCTTTAAACAGTTTTCCACAGCACTGTCTCAAATCAACTAATCATCAGATCAGAATTACCTGGGGCACCAGTTAAAAATAGTTCCCCAGGCTGACACAGATTTCATGAAAGGTCTTTGAAAGTATTCTTTTTAATAAATATCCAGGGAGAATTTGAAGATCAGCCATTGAAAAATGTAGCAATATGAAGTCAACTCCATAATTTTTTCTTGCCAATGGGATTATATTTCTTTCTTACTGAACCAACAAAAAAACAAACGTCTAACAACACTCTGACAGCATGACTTTGAGAAACATCTACACATTACTAGTAGGAGTGTAAACCAGCACAATTCAGGTAGAAAATGAGCTTACAGTATCTGCCAAAATTATAAATTAAAATACTCTATGACCCAGCAACATTACTTCAGATCTTAAGTCTACAAATATAACTTTTTAATATCAGCATTACAAATATACTTTTGCACAGGGGAAAGAACATGAAAATTTTACTCACTGCTCCACTGATTACAATAGCAAAAGATCTAAAAGTTATATATATACTAAAACAGCTCCAAAATATTGTCACTAACTCGAAAAAATAAAAGCACTGTAGAGTAACATATAAAGCATAACATTTGTGTTAAAGGGAAGGATGGAAATATATTTATACATCTGCCTGAATAGATACAAAATATCCCTGAATGGGCACCTAGGAAGCTTAAAACAGTTGGCTGCTTACCAAAAGGAATATGGTTGGCTAGAACACACAAAGGAAGGTTTTATAATGTATCTAGCAGATGGAGGATTATATGCCGAATGCATTTATTATTGCTTACATTTTGAGCTTACTGCCTCAAACACTACGTTTCCAAAATGCACTGGCAACACTTGCTAAGAAATTAATAAATGCCAATACAACTATTACTAACATTTTAAAGTTGTTTAGGGGAGTCTTTTTAGAAATCTCTTGGCATTTAATTTACTACTTTATTATGGAGTGACTATTTACCAAAATTCTTAAATCATTCCACTTATTTTAATTTTGTGGCCGAGACCAATTAATCTGTAATATTTCGGTACCATTAAAGGCACAAAAGTTGATAGACCTTAGTTGGTAATAGAAAAATTAAAAAAAAAAAATACCTTTTACAGTTGCCCTCCACCTCAAACAGGAAAATATAAACAATGAATAAATTCCAGTAATTTAACCAATCATGTTTACATTTAAAACTCAAGATAACTTACAAGGCCTGCAGCTGTTGTCAAAGTAACTTTCGTTTCTAAGCAATTGTTCTCTTAAATAAGTGGATAAGAATTTGGTAACGCAAGTGTACTTCCTAAATAATGAACAGAAGGGGGGGGTACAAACAGTACATATGTATGCAGATACTCTATATGGACTCAAAAACCCTAGAAAATGCCTTTCGAAAACTGACATATTAGAATATTCGACGATTCATTAATTGTGCTTTGATGAACCTGAAAACTTTCCATATCTGTACGCCTCCACTTTCCCATTATTAGAAGGAAACCCTGACGTGAAAGCTCTGAGTCACCAGATCTCCAGAGAGATTTCCTTGTGAACACACCCTACAGGAACAACGTTTCTCCTTTGGCTCCAACTTCTTCCCAAATAAGCGCCCAGCAAACAACCTCTCCCCCACCGCCTTCAGGAACCGAGGCTTCGCCCACTAAACAAACACCCCGTCCCCCGTCCAGATCCCGGACGTGCCGCCTGCGCCGCCGAGGAAGGTGATCGAGGACGTACGGATCCCAGGGGCGCACCGAGGCCAGCAGCTGTTTTTCTACCCACCTCTGGAGACCTTATCCCGGAGGGACAAGGAGGACAGAGAGACCCGTCCCCGAGAAGTCGCTGGGCTGTGGCGCGGGCTGCTGGCTCCGCCCCAGGCCGGGCCTCCAGGCAGCCCGCCCACCCCACCCCCCACCCTCAACCCGAGCGGGAGCCTGTGCTGGGGACTCAGGGGCTGGCAGGGCTGCCGCTCAGGAAAACTTCCCCCCAGGTCCGGCTGGGCGCGAGGAGGGGCGCAGAACCCCCCGAGGAGGGGCGTCGCGGCCACCGCCGTGGCCATCCGAACACCGTTATGACCTGTACGTGCTCCGTTAAGTAGCTCGGAACCCCGGGGTCCCCAAGACTCGACGCTTTGTCCCTGCGCCCGGGACGTACCTGCTTTCCGTCGCAGCAGCTCACCTAGGACACCAACACCCGCTCGCCGCCGCCTCCGGTCACTGGCACCGACTTCCGAGACCCGGGGGAACGAGAGCGGCGCGCGCCCGAGACCGCCCTCAAGGAGCGTCACGGCGCCGCCCCCGCCTTCCGCCCGCGCAAGCGCGCGGCGCCGGGCGCTCCCGTCGCCCTGGTAACGGGCGGCGAGGATGGGGAGGGGCGCGGGGTCCTGGCGGCCGCCCGGGGTCTGCCTCTCCGGTCTGGTTTCTGCCTGCTGTATCCGACGCCGCGCAGCTTCTCGGTTACGCTCAGGACCTTCTCCGCCTCCCACGGTTCGTGCCTTAGGATCGCGTGTCTCTGGCTCCCGGTTCTGTTTCTGCGTGTGATGACAGTTCCCGTCACCTTCAACACAAAGAGATCCCTACAAGCCGCGCTTCCTCTTTGGAGGTTTCCTCACCCAGTCTTCCCCTTCCACCCCTGCTGTCCTGTGACTGTCCTCTTGCTTGACTTCTCCAACTGGAGCCCAGAAACATTCATCCCACTATTTTTTCTCAGTTCCAATCCTATTTTTCTCCTTCAATTTTTTTAAGGCTTTTATTACTCTTTGTTCACCTGAGCTAATGTTCATTGCCTGTTGAGGGTTATGTGTGGTGTTTTGCAAAAATAATAGCTGTATCCTAATATAAAAACATAAAATCTATGATTTCATGAGTGTTAATTATGTGCCAAAAATTGTAAGAGCTAGTCTTTACGGTAATCTATAAGATAGATACAACCCACCATTACAAAGAAACTGAATATTACCTTATCATGGAATACTGTAGTGTCCTTGAGAAAATAGCGTTAACATACAAGCAGTTTATTTATAGCTAAATTGTTTAGTGTTACAATAACCTAATCTGTGGTAAGACTACTAAAAATCTGAGCATAAAAGACATGGCAGATAAAATAAAAACCTCTGCCCCCAGGGAAATCATGCCTTAGCTGATGAAATAAACATTTAAAAACAATTATACTATAGCAGGACATAGTGATGCATGCCTGTAATCCTAGTGATTGTGGAGACTAAGGCAGGAGGATTGCCAGTTGGAGGCCAGCCTCAGCAATTTAGCAAAAACCTCAGCAACTTAGCGAGGCCCTGTCTCAAAATTAAAAAAAAAAAAAAAATTAAAAAGGATGGGGTTATAAAGTGACCCTGGGTTCAATCCCCAGAACAATATATATATATATATATATATATATATGAATGGGAAAGGAAGAAATAAAACGTTTGTTCTCAGATGACATAATTGTCTACGTAGAAAATTCTTGAGAATTGGCAAATTAATAAAACTAACCAGCAATTATAGCAAGTTGTAGAATACAAGGTTGACAACAAAAGTCAATTGTTTAGTTTTTTGTTTTGGTTTTGTACTGGAGGTTGAAACTCCTGCAGCGCATTACCACTGAGCTACATCCCCAGCCCTTTCTCTTTTAGGTCCTCACTAGGTTGCTTAGGTTGACCTTGAACTTGCCATCTTCCTGCCTCAGCCTCCTGAGTCAGAGATTACAGACATGAACCACCCCACCTGGCAATTGTTTTCTTATGTACTGGAGATAGACAATTGGAAATTGGAATTAAAACACAATGCCAATTATCTTAGCACCAAAATAAAATGAAATACTTAGCTATAAATTTAATGAAATGTACATAAGGTCTATGCAAGGAAAACTATAAAGTTCTACTGAAAAAAAATTAAATCTAAATAAATTGAAAGATATTCCGTGTTCATGGATAGGAAGACTGAATATTGTTAAGATTTCAGTTCCTCCCAACTTGATCTATAGATTTGACACAATCTCAGGCAAAATGCCAACAAATCATTTTGTGGATTACAGAAAAAATGAAGGAACCAAGAGCTAACACAATTCCAAAAAAGAGAAAGTATGAAACCTGACAGTACTGTTTTAGTTTGGCTTCTATAACAAATTACCAAGGACTAGATGGCTTAAAAAATCAAGATATATAGATGTATATATCTTACAGTTCTGGAAACTGGGAGGGTCAAGATCCTTGTGCCTGAGGATCTGGGGTCTGGTAAGGGTCCACTTCCTGGTTTGAAGATAGCCACTTTGCATTGTATCTTCATGTGGCTGAGAACAGGAAAAGAGTATGTTCTCTGCTGTTAATTATTATAAAGGCACTAGTGTTACCATTAGTGCTCCACCTCTTGACCTAATTATCTCCCAAAGGGCCCATCTCCAAATACCATCCCACTTCGTAATAGCCTTCAACATATGAATTTAGGGAGAGGAACATAAACATTCTGTCCATGATAGTACTCAACTTTAAAACTTACTATAAAGCTGTAATAATCAAGAGGAAGTAATTTTGGCAAAAGAAAATACATCAATGGAGCACAATACAAAGCCCAGAAATAGACCCAACAAATGCATTCAATAGGTCTTGGGCAAAGGAGCAAAAGCATTCAGAGGAAAAAGAAAAGTCTTGCTGGGGATGTAGCTCAAAGGGAAAGAACATGCTTAGCAGGCATGGGACTCTGTTTGAGCCCCAGCACCCCAGGAAGGCACAAAGGGGAAGAAAAGGAAAAGTTTCCTCAACAAATGGTGCTGAAACAACTAGACTTCTGTCTATAAAAAAAAAAAAAATGAATCTAGACATAGACCAAAACCCTTTATAAAAATTACCTTGAAATGGATCATACACCTAGATTTAAAATGTAAAACTATCTAGAAGATAACAAAGGAGAAAATTTAGTTGACCTTGGGTTTGGTCAAGAGGTTTTAGACACAGCAACAGTGTAATCCATGGAAGAAAATATCAAGTTGGACATCATTAAAATGAAAAATTGCTCTGTGAAAGACACTGTTAGGAGAAGATAAGCTACAGACCAAAAGAAAATATTTGCAAAAAAAATCCAATAAAGGATTTATATTCAAAATATACATATCACAGTTAAACTCAATAAGAAAACAAGACAATTAAAAATTGTACAAAACCCTGAACAAATAGCTCATCAAAGAAGAAGTGGATGGCAAAAAAAAATACATGAAAAGAAATTCAGAACTCCAAACAGGCATAAATGTAAGCATCTCTGCTTCAAGTTGCAAAGTAATCAGTCTTTTATAAATGAAAGAATGTGTTAGCCTAAAAAGGTAGAAATAAAAACAAGAACTACTTGGATAATTGCAAACATACTATAAACCTGTTGAATTGTCAGCAATGTTGAGAATTCCTGAAGAATATTAAGAGATTTACTTTTGGGAAGGTACCCTCCAGATACATTTATCACATAAAATTTCTATTTTTAAAATGGATATAGTTTAAAAGTATGAAATATGTTAAATCTGTATTAAAATAACTTGTTTAGATAAAAATAGAAGTTCAATATCATACAACATTAGGTAATTACAAATTAAAATAATGAAAGCATACTATATACCTATTAGAATGGTTAGAATCCAAAACAATGACAATACTAAGTGCCAACTATGGTGTGGAGCAGCAGAAACTCATTCATTGCTGGTTGGGATGCAAAATGGTCTGGCCACTTTGGAGGACAATTTGGAAGTTTCTTAAAAGCTAAACATAATTTTGTCATTTGAATCATTATTCATGTTCCTGGGCATTTATTCAAATTAGTTGATAAGTTATATCCACACAAAGACTGTGCATGAATATTTACAGCAGCAATAACGCTGCTATATGAATAAACATAATTGCCAAAAAATTGGAAACAACCAAGATGTCTTTCAATAGGTAAATGGAATAACAAACTGTGGTACATCCATACAATGGATTCAGCAATAAAAAATGTCTTTAAAAGACACAAAAAGGTGTAAGAGAATCCTAAATGCATTTTACCAAGTTAAAGAAGCCAGTCTGGCTACATGCTGTATGATTTCAACATTATGAATTCCAGAAAGGACGAAATTATGATGAAGTCATATTCTGTATGATACTATAATGGTAGTTTTATGACATTGTACATTTGTCAAAACCAAAAGATAGTGTGGGGAATACATACGTGTGTGTGTGTGTGTGTGTGTGTGTGTGTGTTTGTGTGTGTGTATGTGTTTATTGGGTCTTTGTCCCCAGTTTCTAGCATAGACCTTCAAAAACAATTGCAGTTTCCTGAGTGATAAGAATGCTATGTGAATGAGCTTATTCATGGCAGGCAATTAAGGTAGAGGAGCTCTAGAAAGCGCCAAGGTGGAAGCCAGTCACCAGTATGTGATTAGGGCTGAAACTCTTCGCACCATTGCTGACCTCTGGAAAGGGAGATCTCTGAGTTTATATACTTTGAGTTTTATATATATCTGAGTTTTATATCTTTGAGTTTATATACTTGGAAAATGATTCAATCAATCATGCCCCTCTAAGGAAACCTCACCCAAAAAAAAGAAAAAAAAAAAATCTGGATGCCAAAGCTGGACGGAACTTTCTGGTTGGTGAATGTAACAGTATATCTTAGAGAGTGGTAGAACTTTTCAAACCATTGCCTAGGTACCTTTTCATCTATTTGTTTCCTTTACAATAAAATTGTAATCATATGTATATGCTTTCAGTAGAATCAGTGAGTCATTCAAACTAACTGTTGAACTTGAAAATGGGGGTTATGGGAAACTTCAAATTTGTAGCCAAATTGGACTGCAGTGTGGGCAGCATGAGGACCGCCCCCTTGTAGCTGGAATAGAGGGCAGTTTGTGGGAGACCTTCCTCTATCTTGTGGGAACTGATGTGAACTCTTGGTAGTCAGTGTCAGGATTGAATTGAATTCTAGGACACTCAGTTGGTGTCAGAGAGTTGTTCACAGAACAGAACACACTGTACAAAACACAGACTGGATTATGATGTAAACTACGAGCTTTATTAAGTATTATATAAATATTGGTTCATCAATTATAACAAATGTACCTCATTAATATATACTTATAATAGGAGAAATCATGTTGAGTACAGGGAGTGTATGGAAATTCATCGTACTATGTGGTCAACTTTTCTGTAAATCTAAATCTAGGTCCCTAATAAAATTGTCCTCAATTCCAGCTGCAAGTGGCATCCTCATGCTGCCCACACCGTGGTTTCTACTTGACTATAAATTTG